TCAAAACAAAAATCTGAAAACTAAATGAAAAGAAAAAGAACTTGGTTGCATTAGCCCTCTATATTGCATATAAGAATATAAATTAGACTAGCCCTTATAGAAATCAGTATTACTGATCTAAAATTACCATGTTAGTTACAGCAGAAGGTGTATATGTACAGGAATCAAAGGCAGAGTACTGTAGAGATGTCTACATATCCAAGTATATTGTGTCACCATAACCAGGTTAAAAACTCAGCCTAGGTGCCCATCACTGGATTAGTGGATAAAGACGATATGTACCAGGGCTGGGAAGGTGGCTCAGTGGTAGAGTATTTGCCTCACATGTGTGAGGCTCTGGGTTCAGCACCTCATAAACAGAAAAAGCTGGAAGTGGGTGCTGTGGCTCTAGTGGTAGAGCGCTAGACTTGAGCTGAAGAGTTCAAGGCCCAGGCCCAGAGTTCCAGCCCCAAAACAGACAAAAAAAAAAAAAAAGACAGTATATACTATATATACAATAGAGTATTGCTCAACCATAAAAAGAACAAAATCATGTGTTTACAAAAAAGTAGATGCACTAAGAGAACATTAATGTTAAGCAAAAAATCAAGACTCCAAAAGATGAAATGGCATGCTTTTTCCCTATATGCGAAATCAAGATTAAAAATAAACAAAACATCTGGGTGCTGGTGGCTCATACCTGTAATCCTAGCAAGGAAAGAGGCTGAGATTGGAGGATCGCAGTTTGAAACCAGCCTGGGCAGAAAAGTCCCTAAGACACTCTTATCTCTAATTCACCACTCAAAAACTAGAAGTGGTGCTGTGGCTTAAGTGGTAGAACACTAGCCTTAAGCACAAAGAGGCTCAGGGATGGCATGCAGGCCCTGAGTTCAAGCCCCACAACTGACAAAAAATTAAAAATTAAAAAAAACATGAAAGAGAAGGTAGACTATCTGGGAAGATGAAGGAGACCAGCCATGGGGAAAGATGACAAAGTAGGTAATGAGGAGGTTAATATGATCAAGGTACATTGTGTGCATGAGTGCAAAGATAATGAAATCCATTATTATTTTGCAATCAACATATGTTAATATGAAAGAAAAAGTTTCCAACCCTATAAGCTGAATCAATACTCCTTAGTACATATTTTATGGAAATCACTGTACCATGTGACATGTCATATCTTAATTGGTTTTACAGGAATGAATCTACTTCTGAGTGAGTCAGAAACTCCAGAGGCTAGCTCATGTCATATAAATGTTTATATTTTTTGTTGAGTAAAGCAAAATTTATTAGGCACAGTAGACAATAAATCTTTTCCAAAATCAAAATTAATATGTTACTGCATAAAGGTTATTTTTGTGTGTTCTTAGTGTTGAACTCAGGACCTTGCATTCTTGCTTGGCCTCTACCACTTGAGCCCACAATCTCACTCTTGGCTGTTTATTTGGAGATATGGGTCTCTTTGACTTGTCTGTTAAAACTGATTTTCATCCAAGATCCTCAGATCTCAACCTCTTGAATAGCTCATATTATAGTTATGAACCATAACTGGCCAGAATTTGTATAGATATTTTAAATGTATTGCTATTTGTAAGTATTCACTGAGCATCTTCCATCTATCAAAATCTTTCAGAAATATTTTAAATAATTATACTGTCTGATACCTTTATAGTTTAGCATTTTATTCACTTTTATAATTTCTTAAAGTTTATTTTTGTTGACATATCAACTAACAAATGACTCTAATTTATATCACAATAACATTTATTGACTAAAATCTCCATGGTATTTTCTCCACCAGTATTTTAGTTTAGTTTTGTTTTTTTGTTTTTGCTGGTTCTGGTCTAGTCCTTAAAGTCAGGGCCTCGGTACTATCCATGAGCCTCTTTGTGCTGCGGTACTATCCATGAGCCTCTTTGTGCGGTACTATCCATGAGCCTCTTTGTGCTCAAGGCCAGTGCTCTACCACTTGAGCCACAGTGCCACTTCAGGCCTTTTCTGAGTAGTTTATTGGAGATAAAAGTCTCATGGACTTTCCTGCCTGGGCTGGCTTTGAACCACGATCCTCAGAGCTCAGCCTCTTGAGTACCTAGGATTACAAGTGTGAGGTCCCGACGCCCTGCATATTTTAATTTTTTTTTGTATAACAATCATTACTTTCTATTGTCAGCTTTTTATCATTGTGAGACTAGTGAAGTTTCAGCACTATATGTTTTTAAAAAGTTCATTATTACTTTTTAGCAATGGGGAGATGTATTTTTATTTATACCAGCAGCCACAGGGGCAAGGAAGCATACAGAGTTAGTCAGCTATCTATATAGGATGGATTACTTATGCAAAAAGAAGAATCTCCAAAGCAAAAGGCAGTGGTGAGTTTCATACTATCTTCCCTCACTGACCCCAGCACATGATGATGCCATGCAGGGGCCCCAGGCATGTGGTGGTAGAAACTTAGTTATCAGTATTACATTTTATTGTTTTATGAGAACTGAGTGAACTCATTACTCTCATTACATTATAATACACAATTGCCTATTATTACATTATAATACACAATTGCCTGATAAATTTATCTCATATTGCTTTTCATATCTGTGTGTGTGTGTGTGTGTGTGTGTGTATGTGTATGTGACTCCTGGGGCCTGAACTCAGAGCATGGATGAGTTTTTTTTGCTCAAGGCTAGCTGGAGCCACAGATCCACTTCTAGCCTTTGTGGTGATTAATTGGAGACAAGAATCTCATGGACTTTCCCGCTTGGGTTGGCTTTGAACCATGATCCTCATATCTAAGCTTCCTAAGTAGCTAGGATTACAGGCAGAAGTTACAAGCTTCTGGCATGCTTTTCCTATTTTTATTTTCAAAAGGAAATACATTTGCAAACAAAATTGAAATGACATTGAAAAATGTTTACTTTTACTCTAGCCCTAAAACTGGTGTTCGTTTTATTACATTCAAAAATATTATATGTGTGATCAACTTTATGCCTGTTCATTATTTGTTTTCTACAATATTGTAATGTTGAAAGACTGCCATTTTACCAGGCAATAGTGGCTCACACTTGTAATCTTAGCTCCCCAGGGGACTGAGATCTAAGGATTGTGGTTCAAACCTATGCCAGGCAGGATAGTTTATGAGACTCTTATCTATGTTTTACCACCAAAAAGCCTGAAGTGGAGCTTTGGCTCAAGTGGTAGAGCTCCACCAGCCTTGAGTGAAAAAGCCAAGGAATAGCAACCATGCCATGAGTTCAAGCCCCAGCACTGGCTCAAAATAAAACAAAAAACTCTACTGTTTAGCTATGGATCCTCCTTCATTCTCACTCTCATATCTCCCTTCCTCTCTCCCCTCTTTCTGATAAATTTACTGTATATTGCTTTTTATATTCTTCTCACACACCCCCTTCCTCCTTCTCTGTCTCTTCCCTCTCTTCCAGGCTGGCCTTTTACTGGTGATCCTCCTGCTTCATCCTTCTTAGGGCTGAAGTTAAAGACAGACACCATGACATCTAGCTCCATGGATTATGCTGTATATCAATAAAAATGCTTCTTTGTATTAATTAATTTTTTATTTCACAATTTAATGTAAATAAGTTTTAAGCACATTATTGAAATTCTATTCATATCAAAATTCATGAAGACACAGAAAAATTATGTAATTATCTTTCCATGAGAGGTTATTTTTTCATGTGCAAAAGATTGTAGGTCAAGTTGAACTATGGACATTTTCTCAAGTAGGCAGGTAATAAGTACCTGTCTAAGGCACAGATTAAGCAGGAAACTAGGTCATCCCACCACAGAGGGTATAAGCATGAGAGAAGATAATAAAAAGTAGATTCACATTTTCATTTTTCACATTTCATTCTGATTTTCATATTTCAACATCGTCATTAATTTCAAGTGATGAAAATTTTCTATCTTTGCATTTATTTATTCCAGCATACCAGAATAATTCTCTTTTCACCTTCTAGTTAAATTTCCATCAGAATTTAGCTATGATTAATTTAGAAATTATTCAATTTCCTAAGTTTGTCTGGATTCTCATTCATTTATCTGCCACTTACCAGTGAAGGCAGATTTGCTGATTGGACCAAAGCAGGAATACATCAGTATATGCTTTGAATGCATTCATGAAAGGTATCCTTGCTTGAAATGACAGAAACATCTCCATTCTGACTTCCCACCTGTTGTCTTTCTCAGTCTCCTGTTCAGATGTCACTGGCAGCTCCTATATGAGGTAGCTGGCCCATTTGAATCCTTTTACACTTTCAAATTTTAAAAATGGAAGGAGGGAGAGAAAGAGAGAGACAGAGACAGTCAGAGAGAGGAAAATGGGCGAGAGAGAAAAGAAAGATCATGACGTTTCTAGGGGCTACTGTTTGAAGGGAAATCCTTATCTTTGCTATTCCCAGACATGGAGCAAAGTACTTGGTAAAGTATGGCTATGTGTATCTTTCAGTTTGTATTTATCAGTGGGAGAAACATCAGGATACAAAATTCTGAGGAGGCTTATGCACAAGGTAGGCACTAGAGAGCATTTTAATATGATTTACTACTGGAGAGTAGTGAAGCAAAACTGGAACTTTTTTTTATCCTGGGGCTTGAACGCAGGGCCTGGGCATTGTCCCTGAGCTTCTTTTGCTCAAGGCTAACAGTCAACCACTAGAGCTACAACATCACTTCTGACTTTTTTTGTTTGTGTGGTACTGAGGGCTTCATGCATGCTAGGCAAGCATTCTACCACTGAGCCACATTCCCAGCTCCCAAAACTGGAACTTTTGATAGGAGTTTGAATCTCAGCTCTGCCTTTTCCCAACATATGAACTAATCACTCGTCCTCAGGTTTTTCAACCATAAATCAGGAATAATAATTCTGAAAACTTCAGTGAGGGTTAAAAACCACATGCTCTCCTCACCCATAGAGCTATTGTAAGCACCTGACCAGAAGGTAGCCTTACTGACATTTTAACCAATTGCCTCCAAGTTTTCCTTCAGCTAATACTGTTTCTTGTGTCCAACAGACGCATGGGCGGCTCAGCACCACCCGATAGCAGTTGGAAGGGAAGCCTCAACGTGCCATACAATGTGGGGCCTGGTTTTGCTGGAAACTTCTCTACACAGTTAAGATGCTATTTTAATTTTTTTGATATAGAAACTTCTGTGTGTCTGTGTGTGGGGCTTAAACTCAGGGCCTGGCCACTGCTCCTTAGTTAGGCTGGTACTCTACCACTTGAGCCTCAGCTCCACTTCCATATTTTTGGCTGGTTAATTGGAAATAAAAATGTAAGGGACTTATTTTGCTCAGACTGGCTTTGTACAGCAATCTCCAGGCCACAGACTCTTGAGTAGCTTGGATTATAGGCATGAGTTATTGGCACCTGGCAGAAACTTTACAAACTATAGAATTATAGAGGATTGAACACCTTTACAGAAAAAGTCAAATGGATCCCATAGCAGCAGAATATGAAACCAGACTTTTTACAGCATTACAGGCGGCCATTGTGAATTTTCCCTGAGCACATTTAGGAATATTTCTTCTCATTGTTCTACCTTCATTATTGCAAGCAACCTATTCTGACCATATTCAAATTCTGCCATCCTGCATGTTCATCCAACCCACTGTGGCTAATATTCCTGGACCACACAGAGTCTAGTTCTCTTCCCCTTCCCCTCATTCCCCTCATCCTTCATTAACTTAGAAATTTGTTTCAACCATAAGGGGAGATTGAAAAACATTGTGGGTTTTAAATATGTTAAACAGTAGTTTTAAAAAGGTGTCCTTTATCTTTGAATTAGAAAAGTCAAGATGCACATCCACTCCAACAGTAAAGTGACAAGAATTTATAATGTGATTGGTACCCTACGAGGAGCAGTGGAACCAGGTAAACAAGTAAACACCAGGTAAACAGGCATACAGCAAGTATGAGTCAAGCACATCTTACATACTAAGCACTTGGAGCTCTGAGAGTAGAAAGTGGACAATGAAAAACAACTCTTGATCCCATGAAACTCACTTTAACATAAAATCAATAAATGTAAGGTACTATTATATTGCTGAACATGTTGTGAAGAAGATGATTAAATGCTTGGGTTAGGCTGGGCATGTTTTAGTTAAAAGACTAGGAAAGGTGGTCAAGGAGATAGTACTGAGGTATTTTCTATGAGTTTTTTTATGTTTTGTCTAAGGAAATATTTTCAGGATTATAAACATCTACACAGAAGAAAATTAAGGTAACCTTGAATCAATAAATTCTTTATATAGCTTTATTTATATACAGCTAAAATAATGATGATTACGGGTAAATATGGATGCAAAGGATTTTACATAGCCTACTGATCAACAAATTTTTGTTGTTATTATTGCTTCCTGGTTTTTCATTTTTGTTGTCTTTTGCCTGCCCTGGAGCTTGAACTCAGCACCTGGGCACTGTCCCTGAGCCTCCTTGTGCTCAAGGCTAGTGTTCTATCACTTTAGTGACAGCACCACTTCTTGATTAATAAATTTATGTATAGTCTTATTATATTATAGTCTTATGTTATTAGTAAGATCTAGTTATTATGCTTTTCTTCTTTAACCAAACTTGATTCAATCAAATATCACATTTCTTAAATGCATTTGATTTCATGAAAAATATTAATATACTAAACTAGTGATCAGTGACTCATGCTTATAATCCTAGTTACTCAGGAGGCTGAGAACTGGAAGATCTAAGTTTGAAGCCAACCTTGGTAGAAAAGTCAGTCAGACTCTATCTTCAGTTAATCAGCAAAAAGCTGGACTAGAAGTATATCTCATGTGATAGAGCACTAGCCACAAGTAATAAAGATGAGAAAGATGAGTGCTGAGGGTTGAGGGGTTGAGGTCCTGTGTTCAAACCTCAGTACTGGTCAAAATACACATGGACACACACACACACACACAATTAAATAACAGAAATAAGGAACTCAATTTGGAGGGGACTCGCCCATTTAAATGTGATAAGGGCCTCACCAAGTATGAAAAGATTGCCCTTGATGCTGAATAGGTATCCTATAAAAGATGAAGACATTTGTAGAGAAAGAAAGCTTTTAGCTGTATCTAGAAAACTACTGTCTTACTCCAGAAATGATGAAAGCACAATGGGTAAAAGAATCATGTGAAGAGGTAGACATGTAAGTATGACCTTGTACTTTCCTATAACTGGCTACAGCCACATAATCCACAAAAATATGCTTCCCTTATTTCATTCATAATTCCAGCACTTGAGGAAACATGTGAAAATCTGAACAAAGAACACATTTCTATGAGCTTTCCGGAACCTTAGTAGTTTTCTGAGTTAAGAGTCTTGTTCAGATGTATTTGAATGACTGGCAATTTGCTCTGTTATGGATCTGAGTGACAAATGATTATCATTGCTGCTTCCTAGACAGATATGTCATTCTTGGAGGTCACCGGGACTCGTGGGTGTTTGGTGGCATTGATCCTCAAAGTGGGGCAGCTGTTGTTCATGAAATTGTGAGGAGCTTTGGAACCTTGGCAAAGGAAGGTAATGCACAGGAATGGAACAACCAACATCTCTGTCTCTTGTCTGTTCTTCTGCAAATGAGTGTGGTCTACCCCAGGGACTAGAAAAGTAACTGAGTGATAGAACACTTGCCCTGGGTTCCAGCCCCATCTTAGAAATAAATAAGTAAATATTAAATGACTACAACACCAATAATTGCTATGTATTGATACTCTTAATTTCAATTAATTCTCAAAAAGCCAGAAGCAGAGCTGTGACTCAAGTGGTAGAATGCCAGCATGAATAAAAAATACTAGTACACACACATACATGGCACGCACACGCGCGCGCGCGCGCACACACACACACACACACACACACGGTGGGAACATGTGAGAAGGTCTTATATAACAGGTCACAAACCAGGAAGAGAATGCAAGCACACATTTCTAGTCCCCTGTCAGAGCTGTTATACAGAACCAGGCAGGTAGAATTCCTATGAAGGTTGCCTAAGGGGATGAAAGACTTGACATCTTTATTTTTCCAGTCATCATACCCATAGTATTTTTTTATTCCATCATTTAAGAATATGCATAGGAAAATAATAATTAAAACTTTAGGTGCTTTTTAAAATAATCATTATACACTTAGGACAAAAAGTCCATTCTTTGTATCATTTCTTTTCTCAGAGAAACTTTTTACCTATGTGACTTATCTTGAAGTCACAGAAACCAAGGAAAGCAACTTTCCTAGCTGTTACTGTGCTCATTTTTCAGATGCATTAACCTTGGTTGAGAAAAGTAAGCATTCTTCCCAGGACTGTGTAGACAGTGTATGCTGAGTGAGAGAATCAGAGTTCAAATTCCAGTTTCTTCTTTAGAAAACATCATCTCAATTTAAAATACAGTCCAAGGTGCTCCACTCTCTTTCTACATAGCTAGTTTATATTTTAAGAAAACAAAACAGAGGATATCTGAATTAGCATAGTTCATAAATTAGGCAGGGTTTAGTGTTGTTACAAAATATTTTTACAAAAATTATGAACTTTTTTTTCCCTTTGGTAAATACAAAACACCACTTTGTTAGAACAGGTTAAAAGAATGGAATTATAAATCAGGTGCTTTTTTTCATAAACCAGATTTATTGTAACACTGGCTACTTAGGAAGCTAAGATTAATCTGTTCTCAATTTAAAGTCAGCCCAGGCAGAAAAGTCTATGAGATTCAAAAATAACTAGCAAAAAGCTGGGCTAGATGCATGACTTAAATGGCAGAGTACCAGCTGAGAGCAAGTAAGAGGTCCTGAGTATAAACCCCAGAATTTGCACAAAAAGTGATGTAATAATAATAATAATTATTATTATTAGGTGATTTGAATAATACTAGTAACAGCCGACAAAAATAAAGCATTGATTTAACAGCTATAGGATAACTTTCTTATAAACACATAGAAAACATTTACTAACATATGGCAGCTAAGTGTGTGCTTTTTGAATGTTATTATATCTAATCCTCCCAAAAGTCAAGTGGTATCTTCATTGTTACTATGTGTGGTGTATAGGAAAGAAATAAAGACTTGGTCTATATGACTAACTTCACTAATAACAATGCTAGTGAGAGAAACAGGGTTTAGTTGACATGAGATCTTTCTTTCATAGCCTCTAAACCTTGCAGCTTCCCTATTGATTGTGTGGTTTTCAGCAGCAGCAGATAGTGCTTCTTTCATCCAGCCAGAGAATGGAGTGAAATCAAACAGCCAGCAGGCATCAAGCCACTGTGCAGGCAATGCCAAGCTGAGGGCATAATCTTGGCTCCATATGCTTTCTGAACACTGGGTTCATGTTGCAGTTCCTTTCCCATTTGATTACCCCAGATTAATATTCTATGACCTTGCAAGACTTTTACCATGTGTATGTTATTCCATTTTTTAAATACAAACATAGCATCTTGTTTTGGCAAATCACCTTTTCAAACTTACAAAAAGAAGTTGTGACATGCTGTGGGAAGTGGAGATTAGAGAGAGTGTAGTTTAAAACCAAATGGGGCAAAAAAAAGTGCAAGAGGCATCCCAGCCATTAATTGCATGCAGTGAGGTGCACCTAACATCTCTAGGACATGGGGAAGCACAAGTAGAAGATCAAAGTCCAGGGGTAGCCTGGGCACAAATCGAGACCCTCCCTTGAAAATAAGTGCATGGTTATACAGCTTCAGAGGTATTGTACTGGCCTAGAAAGCATGAGGCCCTGAGTTCAATTCCCATTACTACCAAAAAAGAAAAGAAGTTAGTTAAGAGTCTTACTACCAGTGACTAACTACTAGTGACCAACAAATGGAGTTATGCTTTTTTCCATTAGCCAATTCAGGCTTTACAATGTCATGTGTAAATTACCTCTGCATGTACAACCTTTATGTGCTATATTCATGTATTTTAGGATGGAGGCCAAGAAGAACAATTTTATTTGCAAGCTGGGATGCAGAAGAATTTGGTCTCTTTGGATCTACTGAGTGGGCAGAGGTTAGTTGGTAATTTGATAGCATTAAACAGTTATCACTTCATTGCCAAGCATGTAAAAATGGCACATGAATTCAATGAAGAAATATTCAGTTTTCAAAATCATCTGCAGCAATACATTTTGTCCAAAAATAAGTGAGAAAAAACTGTTTCATCTAAATTACATTTAAAAGAATTTATTTTAAATTAGCATATCTTTATAGTCTAAGGATGTTTCACTGTGATTTTTTATACTGCTTGAACATTGTAAAGATGCTTCCAGTTAATTAATTAGTTACATTGAAAATTTATCTTTACATTTTGGGTGAGTTATGTTGTACATTGGACATTAAAACATGCTTTGTTTCTTTGTCATTATTCTGTTTCATCTTCTAAAACAGCACCCATTTAATTACTATAGGTTTCTGTAGTAAGATCTACTTTTCACAATTGCCTTCTTTCCTTCTTTATATGACCTGTGTGCTTGCTCATACTCTGTCTCTGTCTCTCTCAGTCTCTCTGTCTCTGTCTCTCTCTGCCTTCTCTGTCTCTGTCTCTGTCACTCTCTCTCTCTCTCTCTCTCTCTCTCTCTCTCTCTCTCTCTCTCTCCTTTTTGTGCTGGTGCTGATTCTTGGGTCCTTACAATCTTGCTTGACTTAAAAAAAAATTTTTTTTTATTGTGAGAATACCGAACAGAGGAGTTACAGTTACATGGGCAAGATAACGAGTACATTTCTTATCAAGCATTGTTGCCTCCTCTTTGTTTCCCCTTCCCATCCCTTCCCATATTCTCCATCTTGCTTGACTTTTTCCCCTTGAGGATGTCATTCTACCACTTGAGCCACAGCTCCACTTCTGACTTTTACTGGTTAATAGTAGTCTCAGGAACTCAGGAGTCTCAACCCTGCCTGGCTTTGAACTGTGATGCTTAGATCTCAGTTTCTTTAGTAGGTAGAATTACAGGCATGAACCACTAGCATTCAGCAACCTATTCTATATTAAACAATGTGAAATCCAAGTAGAAGTCCCACACTGAGTGTTTACGAAGTTCTCTTGAAACATATTTTATCTGCATGGGTTGTTGGATTTTTGAAGAAGAATTAATTTCTAGTAAATATGTCCAATGTTAATATTTACACCATTAACTTTCTGTTATGCTGTACTTATTTGGCTCCTACTACACTCCAAAAATTACATAAAATGAATACTCATAAATAAATACAACATTATAAAGATTTCCTTCCCTCCCTCTCTTCCTCCCTCCCTCCCTTCCTCCCTCCCTTCCTTCCTCCCTCTCTTCCTTCCTTCCTTCTTTCCTTCCTTCCTTCCTTCTTTTCTTCCTTCCATCTTTTCTCCCCGCCTTCCTTCTTTTCTTTTTTTTTTCCTTTTTCTTTGTTTTGGTAGTACCATTGTTCCTACTTGGGGCCTTGCAATTGCTAAAGAGGCACTCTCTCACTGGAACCATGCTCTGAGCCCCTTTTGCTTTAATTAACTGCATTTTTTGTCTTTTCTTTTTTGGTATTGGGGGATTGAACCCAGAATGTTGTACTTGCAAGACAAGCCTTTGGCCACTGAGCTACATCCCAGCCCCCTTTTGCTTTAATTAAGGCCAAACTAAGATACTTATATTTATGTTCCAGTGTTGCTGTGTGATGGCAGGTATATACCACTACACCAGATTTTTAATTGCGATGGGGTTTGGCCAACTTTCTGCACAGGCAGGCCTTTAATGTTGATTGCCTTGTACATTATTCAGATGAAGCTTTTACAAGAAAGATTTATGTTGATGTCAGAAAAAGCTGAAGTTGTATGTGTGCACATGTGCACGTTCATGTGCACATGCACCAGGGCCTAACTACTGTCCCTGAGCTTTTTTTGCTCAAGACTAGCATTTGAGTCACAATTCCACATTTGGTTTTTTTTTAGTAGTTTATTGGAGATGAGAATCTTATGGACTTTCCTGCCTAGGCCAGCTTCAAACTGTAATGCTCAGATCTCAGCCTCCTAAGTAGCTAAGATTACAGTAATAAGCCACCAGTGCCTACGAAAATCTGAATCTTATTGGAGGATGATTTGTTTCAAATTATATTATCATTATGATGATGATGATGATCCTCATCAAAATTAAGTTTTTGCTTACAGTGTTGCCCATGTTTGCCTTAAGTATTTGATCTTCCCATTTCATCCTTCACAGTGCTGATATTACAGAATTATGCCATCATATATATATATATTATATATATACTTTTCAAATTTTTATGTTATAATCAACGATGCCTTTTGGAGATGCAGTCTACATTGATAGCAATACTGAGTAATTTCTTATTAGTTCTAAAACTGTGCAGGGATTACTGCCTGCCACTAGGTGGCGCCATCCCACAGAAGAACGGGACCGAAGGGCTTCATACATGTCTTCCTTGATAAAATTTCCATCCCAGGACTGAAGTAGTTTATTCCCTATGAATCAGGCAGCGTTCTGTTAAATAGTGAGATATTTGTGAGAGTATCTCCTCTGGAAAATGTAAGAGGTAATGTTTGCTTTAGGACAAACTACATTATAGTTAAGAAGTTAACTTTTTTGTTGTTGTTGTTGGTTGTGGGGCTTGAACTCTGGGCCTGGGTGCTGTCCCTCAGCTCTTCAGCTCAAGGCTAGCACTCTACCACTTGAGCCTCATCCCCACTTCCAGCTTTTTCTGCTTATGTGTTTCCTCATGCATGCAAAGCAAGCACTCTACCACTGAGCCACCTTTCCAACCCCAATTAACTCTATTTCTATATGTAGATGGTTAACTGCTATATGTAGATGGTTAACAAGTTTCACTTGTTTCTCACTATTAACCTCATTGAATTCTTTTTCAAATGAACACTCGTGAAAATTTCAGGTTTGTGGCTATCATAGGCCAGCTTAATTCAGAAATCTACATTCAGTAGAAGTCTATGTGTCTTTTTATGGGTACAGAGTAGGAAGTTATGACTTATAGTAAGCTTACCTTATTAATGAATTTATTGGGCATGGTTTTGGCCAAGCATGAGCAAAACCAATTTTTTTTTTAAATTAGCAGAACTTCCAAAAACCAAAAAATTTAAATTCCAGGAGCCAGTGGCTTATGCCTAGCTACTCAGGAGGCTGAGATCTAAGGACTGAAATTTGAAGCTAGTCCAGACAGAAATGAATGTGAGAATTTTATCTTTTTGACCAACAGAAAGCTGGAAGTGGAGCTCTAGTCCAAGTGGTAGTATGCTAGCCTTAAGTGAAACAAACTTAGTTCAAGCTCCAGTACTGGCACATTTTAAAACATTTCTGTGCAGGCATTTTGTGGCTCAGGTGATACTACAGAAATTCTCATTAGCACCGTGTTATCATCACTTGTGTTTAAGTCATTGTGTGATCTGCTGTTTTCTTGCCCTTAATTTTGCGAAAATCTGCTTTTCTCCAAAAGACATCATTGTCTAAACACCAATGGAGAAAGTGAATTGCTTAACTCAAATGATAAAGTGAAAATGTGAGATTTGTTGAGAGGATGTTGGGGCTATTACAGGAAACAGGGACTCAAGCATGGAACCCTGTGTCCCGAGCCTAAGCAAGGCCTCTCTTCACCTTAGGGTCCTAGGAACAGTGTACTGGGGGAGACGAATTGACTTTGGGGTCCTGGGAACCACACACTGGAGGAGATGAAAGCTCTACTACATGCATATGTAGTGTTGTTTCTTATTGTTTGTTGTTACAGGAGAATTCCAGGATCCTTCAAGAACGTGGTGTGGCCTATATTAATGCTGATTCGTCTATAGAAGGTGAATATTGTTGACTCCTAAGACAAGATCTGATTTACTAGAGGCAGCAATTTTACTGATAAAGTTTATACTAACACAGAACCAAGCCATTCACATGCTGTGGTTAGGGAATCTGAAGCTGGTTCTTTTTGTCATTTTTTTTTTTTATCCCTGGGGAGACTCAGAGGCTAAGATCCCAGATTCTTGGTATTTTTATCAAAGAATTCAACACACACATACACACACACACACACACACACACAAATTTGGTAAAGCAAGGAGTTTATTAGAGAGGGAAAGTACACCATTAAAGAAAACAGCTTTCTGTAGTTGATAGCTCAAGAGTGAACTCATGGCTCCAGATCTCAACTGTGGTACCCATAGGTGGGAAGAGTACATGGTAATGAAGAGCAATTGGTCTTAGAGAGATGAGGCATCATGACCTGACAGATGTGTTTTATTTGCAAGCAATCTATGCAAGTTCATGGTCACCATCCCATAATTTCAAGTATATGGGTAAGAGGCATGAAGGCGGTAAGCAGGGATTTCTTGAAAAGGTCAGATGAAGACATGGAAATTTCTGCTGTGCAAATGCCTCAGTTTGCTTAGTCCAGGATGAGTTTTTCCACCCCTCTGGAGAAGTTCTAAGTTTAAACTGAGCACTAATTACCCACCATGAATTGTGGTATGAGATGTACTGGAGGGAGATAGGGTGGTGAGGTGTTTTATAGGGCATAGCTAGGAGAAGGGTTGATTTCTTCACATTCTTTCCTGTAGCTATCCTGCCCGGAGTTCTGTGTTTGATCTTGATCTTCAGATCTTAGCCAGTTGAATAGCTAGGATTATAATAAGCCACCACAAAATCACTGCTTTCCAAGATGATCTTCTAGCAGATATCAGGATGTGCTTCTAAGTAAGCACGAGGTTGTACTGATGCACATTGAGGGTCGATTTCCAGGGGAAGCAAACAATCCACAACACTGCACTCCAACCTTATGGATCTTTCTGGTTATTTTTTTATGCTGGCACTGTGGCTTGAATTCAGTTTTTCAGTCAAGGCTGATTCTACCACTTGAGCTACATCTCTACTCCTAGCTTTGTACTGATTACTTGTAGAAAACAGGCTCAAAGATTTGTCCATCTCTGCCAGTTTAGAATCATAATATTCAGATGTCAGCCTCCCTAGTAGCTAAGATTACAGGTTTGAGTCACTGGCACAGGCTTAGCATCACTTACTAATGTAAGTTGAGCATGACAGTAGTTGAGACCTAACACCTTGAGGGAGTTACATGGAGTTTTACATTCCTCCTTTGTTCATGTGCCTGATCTCTTTGTCTTGCAGTTAGTTTATATGGTTCATGTAAGTTCTTTCTCATCCCAGAGAAAGAGGACAGCTTTTCATGTCAGATTGTCTGAGTTTATTCCTGGCTTAGTAACATCCACCTGTTTGACTTTTTGTATCTGAGCTTTCTTACCTCTTGTCAATGCTCACATTAATATGGGCAAAATCCCAGACCTATACCTTGCAGAGTGAATGTCCAAAAGTATTAATAATTATTATTTCTACATAGGTTATTATTGTTACTCCTATGCAAATTATTTTTATTTCTACAATTATTATTATTGGTACTCCTATAAAGATTCTTCTATGTAGATCACATCCTTATCTCCAGTTAACCAGCAAAGAGCAGGAAGTAGAGGTATGGCTCAAGTGGTAGAGTACCAGGCGTGAGTGAAAAAGCTAAGGAACATATTTTAGCAGTGGTAAATAATGCTACAATAAACAGTCGTGCTGGTAGCTTTAGTGTGGTCTTTTTTGTGAACATTTGGGTAAATGCCCAAAAGTGGAATTGCTGGGTCATAGGGGAGCTCTCTGTGGAATCTTTTGAGGAACCTCCACACTGCTTTCCAAAGTGGTTGAACAAGTTTACACTTCCACCAACAATGCAGTAAGGTTCCCTTCTGTCCACATCCCCTCCAGCATCTGTTGTAGAGTTCTTGATTATAGCCATTCTAACTGGGGTGAGGTGGTATCTCAATGTTGTTTTGATTTGCATTTCTTTTATGGCTAGATATGTTGAGCATTTCTTCATGTGTCTATTGGCCATCCTTCTTTCCTCTTCAGAGAAGTTTCTTTTTAAGTCTTTAGCCCACTTATTTATTGGGCAGTTGTTTCTTTGAAGATTTGTTGTTGGAGGATTTAATTTTTTGAGTTCCAGGTATATTTTAGATATGAGACTCTTGTCTGTTGCATTATTTACTATAGCTAAGGAACCAACCCTCAGTAGATGAATGGATCAAGAAAATGTGGTACATGTACACAATGGAACTCTATGCCTCCAGCAGAAAGAATGACATTGCCCCATTTTTTAGGAAATGGAAAGACTTGGAAAAATTAAGTAAAGTAAGCCAAGCCAAACCATAGGTCCCATGGTTTCCCTTATTTGCAATAACTAGTATATGTCTGAGTCAAGCAGAAAAGCTCAGATAAGTTGATGTTAGGGAGATGAACCCTAAGATATGTATTCAAATGGTTTTTTCTTTCATGCGATTGTTTCTAACACATTTTATAAGATTATTTCTTTGTTGCTTTGTATATCCCTCCCCCACGGTATAACCCCTGTTTTCACTGTATTTGATGTTGGTATAATTTGTGGAGGGGAAGGGAAAAAACAAATCATTTAAATAGGGATACGGGTAGACCCATTGCAACAATGAGATGTACAAATCATTATGTCAAAAAACGAACTTTACAACTTTGGGGGGGGGAGGAGGATTGGGTGGGGAGGGCAGGGGGAGGATGGGAAGGAATGGGAAGGGGAAACAAAGGAGGAGGCTACAATGCTTGATAAGAAATGTACTCATTATCTTGCCCATGTAACCCTCTGTACAGTAGTTTCACAAAAAAAAGCTAACCAGTGCCCAGGTTCTGAGTTCAAGTCTTCATACCAGCATGCACGTACACACACACATACACACACACACACACACACACACACACACACACACACACACACCACATACACACAGGGTTTAACTGATTTCATCCCTCTGACCAAATTTGTTGTGTCTTCACAAGTTTCAGGGTCTAATCAGAGTACATATGATATACTACACATTAGGGATACTTACCTTACCTTTTGTGTGTGTGCTAGTCCTTGAACTCAGGGCCTGTGTGCTATCTCTGAACTTTTGTGCTCAAGATTAGCCTGCTACTACTTGAGCCACAGCTCTAGTTCTGGCTTTTTTTCTGAAGAATCTCACAGACTTCCCTTTCCCAGATGGCTTGGTGCCACAATCCTCAGATCTCAGCTTCCTAAGTAGTTAAGATGACATGCAGTGAGCCACAGGTACCAGCTTAAAGTTTTTGTTAAATGTTAATTCCCCGAATAATATAATAAATTCTCCATGTCAATTTACAGTATGAAATTTACAAATGAAGTAAAACCTGCAAACAAATGACTTTTAAGCTTAATCCTGCTTCCAAAGGGACATTCTGAGTTTGGAGTGTTTCTATCGCATTATATTCAATTCAGTGCACACATAGTACCAACAGTATAAAACAACTGTCTTAATTGCTTTATATCCAAATGTTTATTTAGTGAACTGTCCTTTTACAAAATTAGTTTATTATGTGTTGCCTGCAAGAGGGAACTGTGACTTGAGAACTTAAGTAACTCTCCCATGGTCATGAAGCTGAAAGGTTAAAGCTCTGTGTGTCAACCTTGCCCTGTTATTACTTCATAATGATTTTTGAGATTGTACTACATCTAAATAGTTCTGCAATTTGTCTTTTCCTTCAGCAATGTATTTTATAAAATTTTCAATAGGGTCTATATACAGTCATGTATAGTAAAAAAGTTAAAAATCCATGCAGACTATGTTTCTTTGACTCTGGCTTACTTTGCTTAATGTAACTTTTTCCAAGTCTTTCAATTTTCTTAACAAATGGTACAATATCATTCTTTCTGATGGATGAGTAGAATTCCATTGTGCATATATGCTACATTTTCTTAACCCATTCATCTACTAAGGGGCATCTGGGTTGATTCCATATTTTGGCTATGGAAAACAAAGCTGCAATGGACATGGTTAAGAGAAGACAGATCTAGATAGCCCCAGATATATCTCCAAGTGTTTTTTGTTTTTTTTTTTTTTAATACCAAATGGAGGCTAGCTTATCTACTTCCTGGTTTCACTTCTAAGTCTTGACCTTTTTTGTAAAGTAAGTTTTTTATTGTAAAAATACTGTGCAGAGGGGCTACAGTTACACATAACTGTAACTTTTGGTCATGGGGCTTCAACTCTGGGCCAGGGCACTGTCCCTGAGCAGTTCAGCTCAAGGCTAGCGCTCTACCACTTGAGCCACAGCACCACTTCCGGTTTTCTGGTGGTTTATTGGAGATAAGAGTTTCAGGGACTTTCCTGCCCTGGCTAGCTTTGAACCACGATCCTCAGATCTCAGCCTCCTGAGTAGCAGGATTATAGGTGTGAGCCACCTGCGCTCAGCTATGAGTACATTTCTTATCAAGCATTGTTGCCTCCTCCTTTGTTTTTCCCCTACCATCCCTTCCCTCCCATCTCCTCAACTACAGCCCCCCTCACCCCGCCCTAAATTGTAATGTTCGTTTTTCAACTTAGTGTCTTGTACATCTCATTGTTGCAATGGGCCAACCTGTATCCCTATTTATTTGTTTAAATTAATGTAATTTCCCCACCTCCTCTTCTGTCTATATTCTGCCTCATTTTGCCCCTAAATGATTTTAGTTTGTTATAATCTTAAAAAGAGTATATAAGGTTCACAGTCTGTTCTCTCTAGTTATTTGATGCTGAAAATAGACTGTTAAGAGGGAACCAAATAGACTGGAAAGAGGGAACCAAAATCTTCATTTTGGAGCCAGGCACTTGTAATACTAGTTACTCTGGAGCTGAGATGGGAGGGAGGTGATTCTAAGCTAAACCACATGACTTTCTATCTCCAATTAACTACCAAAAAGCTGGCAGCAAAGTGGAGCTGTGACTCAAGTGGCAGAATATTAGCCTTGGGCACAAAAGCTTAGCAACAGTGCCCAGACCCCAAGTTCAAGCCCCACAACTAGCACCCAAAACAAAACAAAAACACAAAAGAGCTGGAAGTGGTACTGTGGCTCTAGTGGTAGAGAGCCAGCCTTGAGTGAAAAAGCTAAAGACAGCATCTAAGCCAGCACAAAAAAATTCTGTAAATTAATTTTTGTATCTAATTTAGGAGATGACATAGGAAATTCAGTTAACAGGAATAGGCCTCTGGACCAGGAATTGACTAGGATCAGATGACATCAAGTTATTCTTTGAGGAATCTGTTTTTGTTTTAAGATCTTAAGAAAAGTAAGTTTTATTTTTGAGATGTAAATTCAAATGTGACAGCATATAATTGTTTTGAAAAATAAGGTTTAGCAGAATTTTTCCTACCTTTGAATAAGAATTTTTAATATTATAACTTGTCTTTTAGTTACATATAGAATAAAAGGATTAACTAAAATCTGGGACTTGTAGGAATAGGGTAGATACTGGTAATCCTTAAATTTTGAATGGTTTTTGCTGTTTTTCCTGGCTGTCTCACTAAGGGGCTATCCGTATCCCAAGACTAGGAATACAAATCTGATTGACTCTAGCCATTTTGAGATAAGTTGTGAGCTGTTTTCCTTGAGGAGGTCATAGATGTTATGAAGGTCTTTTCTTTTTCCCAGGCAAGAGTCAGTTCCCTTTTAGAGTAACGAGTGACCTAGGGATTTTGCCTTTTTGATGCATAATCTGTGTCTTTTGTGGAAAGGTCTAGATGGAGGTCTTCTGCTAGATCTCAGCCTCCTAAGTAGCTAAGGTTACAGGCAAGAACTATAGACTATGAAATAAGCTTAGAATCTGGCATTCTGCATTGAACTGGAGAAAACTCTTCTTTTTGGCTATTTTTAGCATCAAATTTAATGTTGTCTCATGCAACAATAAAGCCAAGATGACAATAACTGTAAAAAAGTACTTGCTAGAATTTCTTTTTTCATGAATTTGATCATAAATTTCTTAGAGAAGGATCCAAAGTATAGATGATAAAATTATACTAGCCATAGTTAAAAATTTTCAAAAAGTGGTTTAGAAGTTTTGTTATTTCCTGTGCATGTGGCATTTTAGGATAATAATTATGGCTAACAGTGTTATACCATCATTAACAAGTTCCTTGTTATAATTGCAAACATATGTACACATCACTGACTTATGTGAATGGTATAAATAGACCTTAAATATATTAAAGATAAAAGTTATGAGGGTTTCTATATGTGATCAAAAATTTCAAAATTGTCAAAATTTTGTAATGGTCAAGATTTAATGCACTCATGGTACAACACCAAATTCTATGCCTTAGAATATTTTGCTTTGAAAATGGGAGTGTGACTCAAAAAGTAGAATGCCAGCCTTGTGCAAAAAAATCTTATGACAATGTAAGGCCCTGAATTCAAGTCCCAGCTTAGACACTTTTTTCTCTGTTTCTAAAAAAAAATGACTTGAAGGAAAGGTAGTTTTCCCTTTAAGTTTTAAATTAAAAAAAATACCTTGTGTTTTTTTTAAGAAAATGAATATAAGCCTTCTTTTCTGATAATTTTATTAGTTCTCAAAGGAAACTAAGGTCTAACTAATCAGGGTTAATTTAAATATTTCTTTATTATATATAAAACTTTCTTATATTAAGTGATTAAAATGTTATACCGTACTACAAACATGTATATATGTGTCTAAGGTTTATTTAAATGTTCTACAAAAATTTACAAGGTTAATGTACAAGTTTACTATCTGTAAAGGGACCTGCAAATGCCCTGTTTTATATATATCTATATCTATATATATATATATATGCTATAGTATTATATATAATGAATAAGTATAAAATATATATTATGTATTATATACACATAATCTATAATGTGTAATAGTATATATAATAGTATATTATATATTATGTAGATAATTATATAATATATGCTATATATTACATATATAATATGACGTATATATAAAATACATGTCTGGACATTGTTGTATTTGGGTTCATTTTTACTCTGCCTAACTAAAAAAATTAAATCTCTGGTTTTTGCTAGTGCTGCTCATCTACTATATCTAATAAGAAATTCTAAAATTCAGTTCAAACATAAAGGCTAAATTATGTGTAGGTATAACATCTATGTACCTGCTGTTAGTTGTTGCTGGCTGTGTTTCCTAGTTTGTACAGAATTTTATCAATTTACATTTTTACAAGAGCCCTGCTGCTTTAAAATTGAATTTGCTATATATACATTTTATTCTAGATGACATTTAGGATTGTGTTTTGTTATTATTTTATTTGTAGTAATTGCATTTGAACTCAAATGTTGAGCCATGTTCCTCAAGCCCTTTTTTCTTTTATTATTTTTTTGGATAAGGTTTGTCTTCATGTATTTATTTTTTGATTGGGGCCAGCCTCCAGTTGAGATCTTCTACAGTCTCCCAAGTAGCCTGGATTACAAGCATGCACCAAAACACTCCACTCAGGATGTTTCTTTTTACAACTAGTTTCATTAGTCTAGGATAGCTTAAAACTCTTTTAAAACTAATCTAGCCTAGCCTGAAAATTCCCATCTTCTTGCCTGCATCTCCTCACTTTTGGGATTACAGGTGTACTTTCCCAATGCCTGACATTTTTCTTTTCTTGTGTGCCAGTCTTGCTACTTGAACTCAGGTTCTGGGCACTGTTCTTGAGCATTTTTGCTCAAGGCTACCATTCTACAGCTTGAGCCTTAGCTCTACTTCCAGATTTTTAATTTCTTTTCTTTTCCTTCCTTCCTTTTTTTTTTAAAGGTAGCTCATGGACTTTCCAACCCTGGCTGGCTTTGAACAGTGATCCTCAGATTTCAGCCTCTTGAATACCTTGAATTACAGGCATAAGCCATAGGTTCCTGGCCTAAACATGGAATTTTTTTCTTTATTTACTTATTTATTGCTGTTCTTGGGGTTTGAACTTGAGGCCTGAGCATTGTCCCTGAGCTTCTTGTTCCTCAAGGTTAGGTCTATAATACTTGAGCCATAGCTCCATAGCTCTTTGGGTAGTTTAGTGGAGATACAAGTCTCACAGACTTTCATGCTCAAGGTGGCTTCAAATCATGATCCTCATATCTCAGCCTCCTAAGTATCTAGGAATAGAATCATGAGCCACCAATGCCAGGCTTAAACATTGGTTTTAAAAGATAATTTTGGGGCTAGGAACGTGGCTTACTGGTAGAGTGCTTGCCTAGCATGCATGAAGTCCTGGGTTTGATTCCTCAGTACCACATAAATGGAAAAAGATGCAAGTGCCAGGCACTGGTGGCTCACGTCTATAATCTTAGCTACTCAGGAGGCTGAGATCTGAGGCTTGCAGTTCAAAGCCAGCCCAGGCAGGAAAGTCTGTGAGATTCTTATCTCCAATAAACCACCAGAAAACTGGAAGTGGTGCTATGTCTCAAGTGGTAGAGTAATAGCCTTGAGCAAAAGAAGCTTGGGGACAGTGCCTAGGCCCTGAGTTCAAGCTCCTGGACTGGCAAAAAAAAAAAAAAAAGAAAAAGAAAAAGATAATTTTGTTTAGAGTGCTTATTGTAGTCTTGGAGTAAAAGAATAACAACAAACAATATTATCTTTCAGGAAACTACACTCTAAGAGTTGATTGTACACCACTGATGTACAGCTTAGTATATAATCTAACAAAAGAGGTAAAAAATAATTATATTTTTTTCTTTTGGGGGGTGGGTGCAGCTGATCTGGGGGCTTGACCTGAGGGCCCAAACACTGTCTATGAGCTTTTTTACTCAAGGCTAGTGCTCTACCACTTGAGCCACTGCTCCTCTCCTGGTTTTTCTTGGAGATTAATTGGAGTTAAGAGTCTCTTGGACTCTTTGAACAGCTATCCTCAGATCTCAGCCTCCATAGTAGCTAGATGATGGTATTAGCTACCACAGGTACATAACTAACAATGTCTTTTTGAGTTGCTTATGTTGAACATTGATGATGTTAGTAATTCACCTTTGCTCCATACAACAGATTTTGGCTTTCTAGAGTATCATTTCTAACAAACTGACTACATATACTTCTTTATTTCTCCCTACACTCACTCCTGTAGGTCAAACCTTGGGTAGCATTACATTTACTATCTCCAATTAGCAAAGGAGGGAATGGAGCTCAAAGAACATTGCTTATCAAAGTTCTATAATTTATACACTAGTTGACCGAGTGTTGCTCCTATGATTTTTCTTAATTTTATTACTGGTTTATAGTCCACAGTAGGAGCTAAAGATTCTAAATGATTGTGAGACTATTATTGACCAGAACAGGACTAAGATGTTTCCAGTACTTGGGTACTGAGCTTGGGAGGTGGGGTGTCATGTGGGTGGCACCTATTTCAACTGAGTTGATGTCATCATCACAGAAAAGAATTTAAGGATAAGTTCTAGTTAGACAAGGAGTTTAAGTTTTATTAAACAAAGCAGGAAAGAAGATAGTAAAACACATCCCAGGAGCCTGGAGATATGGGCACATATGAAGAGCTAAGTCCCTGGTAAGACAAGACTCTCCACATTAGAATCTAGAGTCCTTGTCTCTGTGCATGCGTCTTCATTTTGACCATGTGGTCTGTTAGTTATTTGCTGTGACAGCATTCTTCTAATAACTACATCTATGAACTGGTAAGTTTAGTATTTCTAGAAACCAAGTCTCCCTAATTGACAGATGATACATATTTTTGAGAAATATAGTAATATTTCCTAATTTTAAGACCAGAAAATCCATCTTTATGTGATTTTATTTTCCTTCAACACACATGGTTTCCTTTTATACAAGAATGAGTTTTGCCAGTTATTTTTCTTTAAGAGAGACTTATCCATCCAGAGTGCTGGAGAAATCATTAGCTCAAAGCTGAAAGAAAGCCCCGTTAACATCTATAATCTAATGGGGAGAAGGAGCTTCAGGTTACTATGAAAACTGTGCTTATTCTTGACCCCCTGGATCTTGGTTTTTATCCTTGAGATCCCTAATCTAGCCTGCTTCAATACAGCATGCATAAACGCAACAAATCATTTTGGACAGGGACTAGGTGAGACCTCATAACTCCCATTCTAACCTTCAACTCCGGTCCACTGGTCCCATTACTTTTCTTTTTTTCCTCTCTTTTCTGTCCTTTCTTTAATTTTTTCTCTTTTCATGTGTATACTGTGCTCTCCCTTAGCTTTGTCACTCTTCTACCATCTAGAGATGGAACCTAAAGCCTCTAAAATTCTAGGCAAGCTAACACTGAGCTATCCCTTCAGCCTGGGATCTTAGTAACAGCTATACAGAGATTACATGCCTTGTTTGCTGCTCATTCCCTAGTGAATGGACATTGAATTTGAATGCATCTTCACTTGTAAGTGTGCTTTTTATCTTACATTTAATTTGAATAGCTACAAAGCCCTGATGAAGACTTTGAAGGCAAGTCTCTTTATGAGAGCTGGAGTAAAAAGAGCCCTTCACCTGAGTTCAGTGGTGTGCCCAGGTCAGTAAATAACCCAACTTTTTCTCCAAATTTGATTGTTATGTGAGATTGTTTTGGAAGTAAAATGTACTTTTCTTTCAATCATTATTAAAATTTGTAATTTCTCTAAAATATGTATATTTAGGTTTATTAATAACTTATTACTATGTGTTTTGAAAGTAAGTCTGTTGACACTAAACATGATTCTCATTAGAATAGATGATATGAGTATACAGTACATTTTTTTAAAGGTTTTAGTCAAGATAATAGATCACAGTAGGGCTGGGAATGTGGCTTAGGTGGAATGCTTGCCTAGCATGCATGAAGTCCTGAGTTTGATTCCTCAGTACCACATAAACAGAAAGAGCCAGAAGTGGTGCTGTGGCTCAAGTGATAGAGTGCTAGCCTTGGGCAAAAAGAAGCTCAGGGACAGCGCTCTGGCCCTGAGTTCAAGCCCCAGGACTGGAACAAAAAATAGAGAAATCAGTAGTTTACTCATACTTCTATCAGGTTGTCACCCTCTAACTATTCTTTACCAATCATGCACTTAATATATGTATTGTTTTCCCTAATAATCATAAGCATCCCATCAGCCTTGGTATGCCTTTGCAAGCAAGGGAAGAAAAATAAATTTCTAAGTTGTGTGTGAATAATAGGAATAATTTTAATTATCAAGGGAAGAATTTTCTTCTGAATTATCAGGAAATTGGTTGCTTTCTTTTATTTATTTTTGCTTTCTTTTACTTTATCAGACATAGAAAATACAGATGAAAATTTAAATAAAGTAATTTGAAGGAAACTAAACTCTTCACACATGTTTGTGTGTGTGTGTGTGTGTGTGTGTGTGTGTGTGTGTGTGTGTGTGCATGCATGCTGTTATTGGTTCTTGAGTTCAGAGCCTGGATATCTGTCCCTTAGCTTTCTTGGTCAAGGTATGCATTCAAACACTTGAACAAGTGTTTTTTGGGTTTTTTGGTGGTTAATTGGAGAAATATTTCCACAATCCTCATACTTCAGCCTCCTGTGATCAGGAATTGTAAGCCACTGGTGGCTGGTCATTTCTGGCTGGTTAAGTAGATGGGAGAATCACAGACTTTCCTGCCAGAGATTGCTTTGAACTGTGATTCTCAGATCTCAGCCTCCTGAGTAGCCAAGATTATAGGCATTAAACCACTGACTTCTGCCACACCTTCAGGAATCTTTAAAGAAAAAAAAAAGTGACTCGGGAAATATCACCTCAAGAATAGTCTTACAGAAGTCAATATTTTGTGATCAGAACCCTAGCATTTTTTGTTGAATGACAAAGGCTATCAAATTTACAATAGTAAGAATGGAGTTAGTTTAGTTGATCTTTAATCTGAATTTAATGGAAAAAAAATTCTGAAATAATTCTGTTATTTTATCCTTCAAAGGATTAGCAAGCTGGGGTCTGGAAATGATTTTGAAGTATTTTTCCAAAGACTTGGAATTGCTTCAGGCAGAGCACGGTATACTAAAAACTGGGTAAGTGTCAACAGAATTTTTGAATACTTTGTACAATTTTGACTTCAAAAGGTGGCTTGAACCTGAGAGGTGTAGAAGAACTTGAAAGCAAAGGAAAAATGTCCCCATAGTTGATGGACATTTCTTGCCTCTTGTGTTCTGAACTGTGTGATAAGTGCCACCGACCCTAATACGCCTATCTGTGAAGTATATTTTCTATTTTATTTGGAGGTGGAACATTCACTCAGTCACTCATTTTTGTTTTGTTTTGTTTTTGCCAGTCCTAGGGCTTGAACTCAGGGCCTGGGTGCTGTCCTTGAGCTTTTGTTCTCAAAGTTAGTTCTACCACTTTGAGCCACAGATCCATTTCCAGCTTTTTTTTAAGGCCACAATTCAATTTATTGTTAAGGACCAAGAAACAAAGTCTTGCAAATGTTCTATACAAATGTGGATGAGCTGCAAGATGGGGATAGGGTGGAGAAGAGACTCAATAATACATAGTATTATTGTGAGTGATCTCCAGCTCTTCATTCTAACACTTGAATAGAGGAAGGACAGCCATTCTTTCACACTGAGACTGCAATAGAATGCAAGTAAGATTCAGTTTCATCTTCTATAGGTCAGAGAAGCAAAAAGCTATGTTCAGCTGGTATTGGAAGCCCCCAGGCTGCACACGAATGGATGCTGAAGGTGGTCCACAGGCTGCTGCTGGTGACTTGGTCCCTAGGTCCTTGGCTTCTCTTGACTCTCAATGATAAGCTCGTCAGTTGAATACAGTTGGCCAATATGGACCTGTCGACGGATTAGTCCAAGGTCTCTTTTGGCTTTATTCACTAGAGCTTGAATTTCTACAGGATCCTTTACATTTTTATTTTCTCTAAAGGCATCTCTTATCCTCCTGACAGCATACGTTCTGTAGTTGTAGGAGTTGAAATGCTTGCTCTCTCTCAGCATTGCCCAGTACAGGTCTAACACTTGTGCATGACTGAAGGCTGCCATTTTGGAAGGGGAGCCCATTTCCAGCTTTGTAGTAGTTAATCTTGCTTGAGCTAGTTTTGAACCATGATCCTCAGACCTTAGTCATTGGCTTTTTTTTTTTTTTTTTTGGTCAGTCATTGGCTTAAACTCGGAGTCTGGATGCTGTCCCTCAGCTCTTCAGCTCAATGCTAGCACTTTACCATGAGCCACAGTGCCATTTTCAGCTTTCTAGTGCTTTCTATGGCTTTGAACCATGATCCTCAGCTCTCAGCTTCCTGAGTAACTAGGCTTACAGATGTGAGCCACTGGCTCCTGGCTTGATTTTTTTTTTAATTTATAAAATTATCCTTAAGTAGCTGTACACAGGAATTTTAATTTGCTATATTAGTTTATAAGTATAATGCATTTTGATCAGTGTCACTCACCTGATGCAATGCTACCCATCTCCTCATTTAGTCACTGAAGTTAAAAATGTAGGAATTGTCTTTGGATCTTTTCTTCTCATTCTCATTCACAATCCATATCGAACTGCAGATATTTGGAATTTCATTTGTATAGTATGATTCTAATCATTAAGTAAATAACAAATCATTAGACAATAGTGAAAATGTAGAAGTCACATCCCATTTTATTACAGATTTTTATTCAGTTTTTATTTTTATCAAAGTAACAAGTATATGACTTATAAAATCTCAACTAGTTGCTTAAATGTATAATGAAAAAACAATGGCTTCTTATCTAATTTTCATATTCATTCTAACCTTATATTTGTTTATCAAATTAAAAGCGTTAGTTTTATTGCGTTCTAATATCTACCTCCAAGTTTATGAATAATAATAGCTTCTCTCCTACTACTTTTTCATTTTTCAGTTTTTCCTTAAGGAAAAAATTCTGATACTTGCTACAATTTAAGAGACAATTTAAGCCAAGCACTGGTGGCTCATACTTGTAATACTAGCTCCTTAGGAGGCTGAGATCTGAGGATAGTGGTTCAAAGCCAGGCTGGGCAGAAGAATCTGTAAGACTATTATCTCCAATAAACCACTCAGAGAAATCTGGAAATGGCTCTGTGGCTCAAGTGGTAGAGCACTAGCCTTGAACACAAAGAGGCTCAGCAACAGCGCCCAGACCTTGAGTTCAAGCCCTAGGAGCTTGAAAAGAGAGAGAGAGACAGAGAGACAGAGAGAATTTATTTGCTGCATATAGGGCTATTAGAATAGAACAGGAGATTGGACTTAACTTCATATTCCTGTTAATCTCAAATCCCCTGCCAGGTACTCGTGTCTCTCTCCTAAATCCTAGCTACTCAAAAGGCTGTGAACTGAAGATCACAGTTCAAAGCCAACCTGGGAAGACAAACCTGAGACATTCTTATCTCTAGCTAATCAGCAAAAAGCTAGAAGTAGAGCTGGTATGATTCAAGTGGTAGACTGTCAGCTTTGAGCAAAAAAGCTAAAGGACAGCAATTAAAGTCCTAAATTCAAGCCCCAGAAACAGCACAAATAAAAGAAAATCTATAAAGACAGCTGGCAATGCACAGCAAATATCTTTAGGTCTTTCCTCTTGGGATAGCTCTTCTTTTCAGACAGGAAATCTTTAATAGCTTACCATTGGATTCAAGATTAGTCAGTGCTACATGGTGATGATGATAAGAAGAAATATTAATGTTATCTATATTTTACATATATATAAAAGTTCCAGGAAGAAAGGTCAAGTGAACAGCTAAAATTTTTGGCAATGAGCTGTGAAGCTTGAAGTGAAACTCTTATCAGGCTAACTGTAGTCTCAGTCCCTTCAGCACACTACTATTTTATATCAGTAGTAAAAATAAGAACCTTGAGTGGGTGTGGTGGTACATGCTTGTAATCATTTGAGTCCAGAAGTTCTAAAGTATACTAAATCGATTAGATGTCCACAGTAAGTTCAGCATCAATACAATGACCTTCCAGGAACAGGGGACTAGCAGATTGCCTAGCAAGAAGTAGACAAGTTCAGGTGGGAAAAACAAGCACCTTGAAAAAAATAATAGGACATAAATCAACCATTAAAAGCTTGAAAAGTGGGGCTGGGAAGGTGACTCAGTGATAGAGTGCTTGCCTTGCAAGCATGAGGCCCTGGGTTCGATTCTTCAACACCACATAAATAGAAAAAGCCAGAAGTGGCGCCGTGGCTCAAGTAGTAGAGCGCTAGCCTTGAGCTGAAGAGCTGAGGGACAGCGCCGAGACCCAGAGCTCAGGCCCCACGACCAACCCCACCCCTCTCCCCCCCAAAAAAGCTTGAAAAGTCTTTTTTTTCCTTGACTTTTACATATGCTCTTGGCTTTCCTTATGCCTTTCAAACATCCCTCCAATCTCCATAGTGAGATTGTTAGATTCATTTAGATTTTAGATTCATTTAGATTCATTACCAAAACCTTCACAGCCAAGACTGTCCGTTCTTCTATTCACTGTCTTCATGGAAGACACAGCTTTACTTTTGGCTCTTTGATAGTTACAGAGAAGAATCTCACAGGACCAGACACCAGTAGCTCATGCCTGTAATTCAGCTATATAGGAGGCTGAGATCTGAAGATGATGTTTTAAAGCCATCCTGGGCAGGAAAATCTATGAGACTCATCTCCAATTAAGCACCAAAAAAGCTGAAAGTAGAGCTTTGGCTCAAGCGGTAGAGCACTATGCTTGAGCAAAAGAAGCTCAGGACAGCATCCAGACCTTGATTTCACAACCCCAGGATGGGCGCACGCGCATGCACGCATGCGCGTGCGCGCACACACACACACACACACACACACACACACACACACACTAAAGGATCTCAGACTTTCTGCCTTGGCTGCCTTCAATCCTCAGATCTCAGCTACCTGAGATCTCAGCTACAGGTGTGAGCTACTAGTGAGCTACTGGTGCTCAGCTTGACATCTTTCATAAGTATCTCCTTTTGAGGAATGTTTTGATAACTTTGTTTATGTCATGTACACCTATTATAATTGACACAAATACTATGCCGTTACCCCTTGACTAAGAAGATCTCTGAAGTTCATAAGTAATGTTCTTTATTACTCATCAGGTATTCTTACTAATGCTAATAGTGAGAATCATGCTATCAATCTTATTATCTTACAGGTGATATTTCAATTTTTTTCTTCCATAGGAAACTAACAAATTCAGCAGCTATCCACTGTATCATAGTGTCTATGAGACATATGAGTTGGTGGAAAAATTTTATGATCCCACATTTAAATATCACCTCACAGTGGCTCAGGTTCGAGGAGGGCTGGTGTTTGCATTGGCCAATTCTATCCTGCTCCCATTTGACTGTGAAAATTATGCTGTAGCTTTGAAAATGTATGCTGACAAAATCTACAATATCTCAATGAAATATCCACAAGAGATGAAGATGTACCATGTATCATTTGGTATGGTTATTTAAAAAATATATTGATATATTGTTTGTATCAAATGGTCTTTTGAAAGTCATTATTTTTGTATTACCATTAATTTCTGAAATGCAATGGCCTAGAGGGTGTGTGTATATGTGTGCTTGCTGGTACTGTGGCTTGAACTCATAGTCTTGTACTGCTTTAGCTTTTTAGTGCTCTAATGCTCTCACACTTGAGCTTTCCTTCGCTTTTGATGGTTAGTTGGTGATAAATATCTTAGATTTGTGTCTGAGCTGGTTTTGAACTGATGATCCTCAGATCTCCGCCACCTGAGTAACTAGTATTGTAGATGTGAGCCTCAGCTGGCTTTCAGCACCCTATCTAAGTCATCATTCATATTGTTCTTTTGTCAGATCAAATATTGCACTATGGTTCAACCTAAGTGTATTTTCTTTTTCATGGATGATCACATCTCATAATGCACAAATATAAATAACTGTTAAAGCACATAAGAGGGTTTTTTCTCTGTTGTTCACTTTTTTTCTTTTTTTTTTTTTTTGTTGGTCATGGGGCTTGAACTCTGGGCCTATGTACTATTCCCTCAGCTCTTTAGCTCAAGGTGAGCATTCTACCACTTGTGCCACAGTGACACTTTCAGCTTTTTGTTTATGTGGTACTGAGGAATCAAATCCAGGGCCTCATACATGAGAGGCAATCACTCTACCACTGAACCACCTTCCCAGCCCCCATTCATATTTTTTGACCTATAGAACAATGTCACTAGAAATTATGTTCTTTTGCTTGCTTCTTTGTGTATTTTATTTATGGATTCTGGATGTGTTGCTAGTATCAAACTCCTGCCTCAGACATATTACAGGCATGTACAATATCACCTGGATTAGAAATTATATTTTTCAACCTTTTGATCATTTCCATTTCAGATTCGCTGTTTTCTGCTGTTGAGAATTTTACAGAAGTTGCTTCTCAGTTCAGCAAAAGACTTCAAGACATAGACAAAAGCAAGTATGTACTGCATTTATTTATGTATGTAATAGACACAATTGGAAGGAATTACTCTTTTTTTGTCAGTCATGGGGCTTGAATTCAGATCATGGGCACTGTCCGTACATTTTTGGGCTCTACCACTTTCAACCACAGAGGAGGCAAAATCCTCAGGGACTTTCCTGCCCAGGCTGGCTTCAAACTACCTTCCTCAAATCTCAGCCTCCTGAGTGGCTAAGATTATAGGCATGAGTTACCAGTATCTAGATCACCTGGGCAGTCTTGATGCATGTGGATTTCGTTCTTTCACTTCTAGACCAGCTTTTGGTCTCCATTTGCCTTTCTTCCTCCCACTAGAGTCTACATCACAGACTCTTTTACATTATTGTCATTCATTTTGTAATATGTGTTAATTGTTCAAAAGGGTTAAACAAAGTGAATACATTCTCACAAACTTAAATTTTATCTTTAATATGCTATGTAAAATTCTGAAACACCAGTATTTAATGTAGTCAATTCTAAATAAAGAAATTAAACTGGATATTGACTTTCTCAACTAAAATGTTAAAATCTAAAGAAAAAATACTTCTTCCTTTTATTTTATTTTGTACTGGATCTGGGGTTTAAACCTGAAGCCTTTTGTTCTCCCTTGGCTTTACAGTTAAGATGCATACTCTACCACTTGAACCACAGCTCCATTTCTAGCTATTTGCTAGATATTGGAGATAACAGCCTTGTGGATTTGTCTACCTGAGCAGCCAGGATTATAGGAGTGATCCACTAGCTCCTAGTGAACACTTTATTGTTTATCCTATTCTTCTTGAATCCATGCTTTGGCCATTAAGGGACACAGGCTGTTGGCTCTGTGATACCTTTATTCTCACACTGTAACTAACCTGAATACCTGCATATAATACTGTTCCTCCTTCTAGAGGCAGCATGCTCCACGAGTAAAAAGATGCTGTTTACTTTGCTTCAAAGTGTACTCTATACTATATAAGGAACATTTGAGGGCTCTGAGTGGTAGTCACAACATGATGGGAGGTGGGACTGAGCAGGGGAGGGAGAGAGAAAGAGAGAGGGAGAGGAAGCAGACATATAGTTACCAGAATATACATATACATATATATACACACACACATAAGTATATATATTCACATGGATATACATATACACACATAAATGTATATGTATAATGTGGATATACATACAAATACATATATATGTATATACATATATATGTATATATCCACATGAATTCTTGTATTTGTTGTAATGTTTTGTGAACTTGATTCAGAAATCTTAATTTCTCATAAAATTACCTTTTGATTGTCTCTTTTGCTTAGGTTGAATTACTAACATGTAAAGTCTAAACCTGTTTTTCACTATCACAAAAATGAGTTCACAGTACTGAACAACTAGATGTCACTGCTAGCTCAAATTTAAATGACAGGGCTTCAGTTATTCCTATCTTCCTATTGTCAGCAGAGTGCTGGTATGAGGATCATATTGATCTTTCAATGCTCTCTCAAATTTCCTATTTATAAACTTGGGCAAGTTGAAAGCTCTGAGTCTTAGTTATGTAATGAAATTATTACTCTGCCCAACTTGTAAGATTAAGATAACATTGTAATGAGGCAACTCTGGCTCATGACTGTAATCCTAGCTACTTAGGAGTCTGAGATCTCAGGATTGAGGTTTGGACAGCTTGGGCTGTCTTTTGAGACTCTGCCTTGAGACTCTTATCTCCAATTAAACACGAAAAAAGCCAGAAGTAGAGGTGTGGCTCATGAGGTAGAGCACTAACCTGGAGCACAAAATCAGCTGAATTCAAGCCCCAGAACTGACATAAACACAAAAATGGCACTTTGTTAGCATTCAGAGCACTAAGTGAACACTAAATGCTAGCTGTTATTACTTAAGGTAACATAAAAATTGAGAGCTAATTAAATAAATAAATAATGCAATTATTCCTTATTGTAATGATTATTGCTCACTAAATTATGACATTTATTACATTAAGTGTAATAACTCATTGTTGTATTACTTAGGGTTTGTTAACAAATTTTTTTATTGTACTGAGTCATTCTTATAAACAAATAATAACCTCAGCACTATCTTTTAGAACATGAGCTCCATGTTAGTGTTTGATACCTAGCTAGCATTTCAATAGGTTTTAAGTGTGTGTGTGTGTGCGCACACACACACACACACATGTGCGCACCAGTCCTGTGATTTGAACTCAAGGCCTGAGTGTCTTCCCTGTGCTTCTTTTGGTCAAGGCTACCACTTGAGTCACTGCTCCATTTCTAGCTTTTAAATATATATAATTTATTGGAGATAAGAGTCTCATGGACTTTCCTGCTCAGTCTGGCTTTGAACCATGATCCTCAATTCTCAGCCTCCTAAGTAGCTAAGATTACAGGTATGAGCCAGTGACTCCCAGCTAATTTCAATTGTTTTAAAAAAAAGAAGCAAACACTTTCTTGTGTTTGTGATAGGTTTATATCTAATAATAAGAGTTAGCTGGTTACCAATCTGTATGGAACACCAGTTATACCAGTTATGAGGGAGGTTGAAATCCAGAAGATAATGGCTTAAGGTCAGCTAGGGCATACATGCAAAAACTCTTCTCTCTCAATTAATAGCTAGTCATGGCAGCCCACATGTATCATACCAGCTACATCAGAAAACATAAAATAGGTAGATCATGGTACACACAGAGGCCCAGGCAAAAAGTAAGACTTCAGAATAACCATTAGGGGAAAAAGTGGGGTAGTATGGCTCAGTGTAAGGTTCTGAGTTCAAGTCAGTAACAGCCTGGAGCCATTAGCTCACTCCCGTAATTCTAGCTACTCTGAGGATTGCAGGTTGAAGCTAGCAAAGACAGAAAGTCTTAACTTCGATTAACCACCCAAATGCTAGCTAGAAGTGTGTGGCTCAAGTGGTAGAGCGCTAATCTTGAGCACAAAAGCTTAGGAACTGTCCCTATTCCCTAAGCCCAAGCGCAGTGCTGGCATACACAAAAAAAAGCTAGTACCATCAAGAAAAAAAAAAAACTTACTGTTTGTTGTTACCTGGTAACTGTATAATTTACCAGGCACCCTACTTACATTAATACATGATCTTACTTCAATATTGATAATACTTCTGTATGCAGACTATTATAACCCCTGAACTGAAAACTTTTTGCAATTATATACCTCAGTTTTTCAATTAAGTATTTTATTGAACATACAGATTATTACCGTTTTTTTCCCACTGGCATTAGTCAACTGAAATAGAGTTTTATGAGCATTAGCACAATAATCTTATAAGATTTTAAAATGTGATAGTAATATATGTTATTTCATGATATACATATGATTTAAAAATAATGAGTTTCATTTAAAATCTTTTATTTGCTAGTGAGAATATATACTTTCATGATGATATAACTATGTCAATTTTCTTTTTAGCCCAATATTATTGAGAATTGTGAATGATCAACTGATGTTTTTGGAACGTGCATTCATTGATCCTTTAGGGTTACCAGACAGGCCTTTTTACAGGTAAGAAAAAATAAGACTCCTTGCTCTCATGTGACTTTTTTTTTTTTTTTTTTAATTTTATTTTATTTGAGAACATATTGTACAGAGGGGTTACAATTACATGGGCAGGATAATGCATACATTTCTTACCAAGCATTGCAGCCTCCTCCTTTGTTTACCCTTCACCTCCCTTCCCAGCCTCCCCCCTCCCTCCCACCCAATCATACCCCCCCACCCCCCACCCCCCACCGACATTGTAAAGCTGGTTTTGACATGACATTTTGTACTTCTCATTGTTGCAATAGGTCCACCTGAATCCTTAAATGACTTGTTTGTCCCCATCTCCTCCACATGTTATACTGACATCAAATATAGTGAAAGCGGGGGTTACACTGTGGGGGAGGGACATACAAAGCAACAAAGAAATAATCTTATAAATGCGTTAGAAACATCTCATGTGACTTTTATAGGTTCTTCTAAACTGTGGAAAATATTATAGTTGATTTCTTGCCTGTAAATAGTATTATTCATTTTGTGTATTTTCAAAATATATTTCAAAATACATGTAATGAATGATAAATATTTGATATTTTAATATAATATGATTGTTATATTTTTCTAATTTTTCTATTGTAGTTGTAAAAGAATATGTTTATTTTGGGAAATTTAGAAGGTTCAGAGAGAACATACATGAAAAATCTCCTAAGCTAGGAGCTGGTAGCTCTCTCCTCTAATGCCATCTATTCAGAATGCTGAGATCTGAGGGTTACAGTCACAGCTCAAAGCCAGCCTGGGCAGACAAATTCAAGAGACTTTTTTTTTTTATCGTGGGCCTTGAACTCTGGGTCTGAGCACTGTCTCTTGGGTCTTCCAGCTCAAGGCGAGTGCTCTATGATTTGAGTATAGCACCACTTCCGGTTTTCTGGTGGCTTATTGGAGATAAGAGTTTCACAGACTTTCCTGCCCTGGTTGGCTTTGAACCACGATCCTCAGATCTCAACCTCCTGAGTAGCTAGTATTACATGTGTGAGCCACCATTACCTGGCAATTCAAGAGACTTATATCTCCAATTAGAAGGAGAGGTAGAGCTTAATGGTAGAGTGCCATCCTCAAATGAAAAAAACTAAGAAAAAGCACAAGTCCTGAGTTCAAGCCCTAATCCCATCGGCCAAATACTGAATTGTTTATTATATCTTTGTACATATATATTCCTATCTTAAATATATTTGTCTTTATGCATTCATATAGCATCAAGTCAATGCAATGTGCATAAATTTATTTACTTACATAACATTGACATTTAAAGCTTTTTATTATTTATTGTAAAGATACTGTACAGAGGGGTTACAGTTACATGAGTAAGGTAATGAGTACATTAAGGTTTTGTCCTCTATTTTTAAATAATTGCAAATGCTCTATTACTGAGCTACCTTTCCAGATCTTTCTCTTAAGTTTTGACAAATGTGCTTATTTCTAATAAATACCATGGACACTAGATTGAACCTACTAGGTATTGAAGAATGAGTTAGATAATGAGACAGCCAAAAAATAGCACTATCTTTCCATGTAGAGATTATCAAAAATCATCCTTGAGAGTAAGGGCATCATCTGAACAGGTTCACTAGTTGCCAGGGCAACATGCTTGTAATTCATTTTTGCCTGTTTACTATGAAGCTCCTCTTCTAGAACCAGTATAGGAACTGACTTAGCTCCAACAATGGCACAGTCTTCCACCTAGATCATGTGAAATATTATAAAATTGTAAAATGATTGTTGATGCTTTAGGTTCAGCATTCTAGTATGTTTGTGTGGCTTCTAAAGTGGAGAAAAAGCCCATATAGAATAGGTTGGCAAGTGACAAATGGGACTAAAGCATTACAGTAGGACTGAATTTCAGAGGGTATTTAGGTATAGTCAAAGTCAGCCCTTCTTTTCAGCAAACATTGAGACAAATAATTTAGCCATTTAAATGATCAGATCTCAAGGCAGGCACAGGTTGCTCACACCTATAATCCTAGCTACTTAGGACGCTGAGATCTGAAATCATTGTTTGAAGCCAGCCCTGGCAGAAAAATCCATGAGACTCTTATCCCTAAAACCAGAAGTGGTAGAGTACTAGCCTTGAGCACAAAAGCTCAGGGACAGTGCCAGCCCCTGAGTACAAACACTGCCCATGACAGACAAGAAAATACCAATTTTATAGGGTTGTTTCAATAATAATATTTGTAAGTAATTCTTTTTTATTAAGCCTGTTCCATTCTAGGTAATGTTTTTGTTGTTGTTGCTATTGTTTCATCTCTGAATCATTTTGAATTATCTATTTAAAGTAAAAATGTGGCCAAGCTCTAGGGGCTCATGCCTATACTTCTAGCAGCAACTCAGGAGACTGAAATCTCAGGATTTCAGGAAAAGTTCATGAGGTTCTTTTTTCCAGCTAAACACAAAAATGCCAGAAGTGGATCTGTGGCTCAAGTAGTACTAGAGTGCCAGCCTAAGTGAAAGAGCTAAGGAACGGTCCCCAGACCCCAAGCCTAAGCTGCAACACTGGCCCTCCCCCCAATAAAGTGAAAATATGTATTCCCACACATATTTCACATTCCAGTCTTTGACAGTTACTGAATTTGGAAGGTCAGTTGACAAACCAAATTAGATCTGTACAGCCAGCCTAACATTGTATTGTGCTTTTTTTTCCTCTTGCATATTATTTGTGCAACTAACATTGAGCAAACTATTTTATCAACAGGCATATCATCTATGCTCCAAGCAGCCACAACAAGTATGCAGGAGAGTCATTCCCAGGAATTTACGATGCTCTGTTTGATATTAACAGCAAAGCAGATCCTTCCAAGGCCTGGAGAGAAGTAAAGAGACAGATTTCCATTGCAGCCTTCACAGTACAGGCTGCAGCAGGGACTTTGAGAGAAGTAGCCTGAAAGGATTTTCAGAGAATCCTCTGTAGTGATTTAAGATGGTGTATGGATGTAATGATAAACTAAAAATAAAAGCTGTAAATTGTGTCTGTTTGTGTGTGAATGTGCTACTGTATACATATATATGTATGTACATATATGTTTATGTTTTACATATATACCTATCCTTCTCTAAGTGTTCTAAAAGAAAAGTGGAAAATTTATATTCCATAATTGTAGAGTGTTATTCCAAACTTGAAATTTTGAATTCAGTATTAATTTATGGAGAATAGTTTAATATACTAAACTTACTTGTTACTGTCAGGAACCAAGTCTAACACAGCACTTTCAGACCTGTGCATCTCATTGAAAAACCTGTTTCGTCATGGAATTCAATGGAGATAATGCACACAGCTGCTCCTCACAGAGGTCTAAGTCCTTCTTGGACAAACAAAGGTAAGAGGGTCACTTCTTGCCATACTTGTTTGGAAATTCTGATCTCATCTTGGCAATCCTGAAATCTCAGCCGCCTGAGTTGCTAGGATTCCAGGCATGAGCTACTGGAGTCCAGACATGTTTCTCACAGATGTCACTGCTCCATATTATAAAGGATAGATCTACCTTTATTGTGTGTGTTATGGTACTGAAATTTGAACTTGGAGCCTCATGCTCTTACTTGGCTTTTTCACGCCAGGCTGGAGCTCTACCAGTTCAGACCCAGCTTCACTTATGGCTTTTTCTGGTAATTGCAGATAAAAGTCCCATGGACTTTCTGCCCAGGCTGACTTCTAACTACTGTTCTTAGCTCTCAGCCTCTTGAGTATCTAGGATTAAAGCTCTGAGCCACCAGTGCCCAGTAGATAGCTACTCTTTTAAGTTAAGAAACATCTCATACATGTATATATATATATACATATATGAAATTACGTATACATATGTATGTGTGTGTATATAAATGGACATAACTGATAAGCACATTAAGGAAGGTCCATTTCTAATAGTTTTGCACCCCTCTTATGAAAAACAGAAATAAAGACAAGTTTGGAGCAGAGATCCAAAGACTGGGAAATGGCACACACAACAAAACGCAAGCAATCATGTCATTTTTTCTGCTGGAGACCATTGGAAGGCTGTGTATATTACTCCTCTGAACAAACTTTGTAAAGAAGACATGACGAGATTCTCTTTTCTTGTGCTGTTCGTGAATTTCTTTTTTTCTTTTTTTTTTTGCCGGTCATGGGGCTTGAACTCTGGGTCTGGGCGCTGTCCCTCAGCTCTTCAGCTCAAGGCTAGCGCTCTACCACTGGAGCCACAGCACCACTTCTGGCTTTTTCTGTTTATGTGGTGCTGAGGAATCGAACCCAGGGCTTCATGCTTGCAAGGCATGCACTCTACCGCTGAGCTACCTTCCAGCCCCTGTACATGAATTTCTAAGTTGTAAAATTTGTAACTCTTCAGTTTTACTAGGCAGTACCAAACCATTCTTTCATCTATATTCCTATTGACAAAATAGTTAGGTTAAACAAATAACACATACAAGGAAAGAATATGACATGTTTGCTGGGCACTATATTTCATACCTGTAATACTAGCTAACTCAGGAGGCTGAGATCTTAGGGTTGTGGTTTAAAGCTAGCCTGGGCAGGGAAGTCCATGAGACTAATCTCCAATTAACCATCAAAAAATGGAAATAGAGTTGCCTGGAACAGAAGGGTTCAGGGACAGTGCCCAAGCTCTGAGTTCAAGTCCCAGGACTGGCACCAGAAAAAAAACCCAAAATGGTATGTTATATAATATAAAGAATTTGATGTTGCTATAATTCAGGAGTTTGAGAAAAGAATATTTTATGAACCATTTGTTACCCATGAAACATTTAGATAACATCCTAAAGGCTTCAGAAGAAATCCACAGGAGCATAGCCATTTGTGTGTAGAAAGTCATACAATAAACTTACACAGAGTAAAGATGCAGCCAAATTTTAGAAAGTACTCTGACCTGCAAATAGAAGTAAATTGAAGAACATCTCTCCAACAAGGCATGAGGACCTGCATCTTCTGTCTTAACTACGGTGGTGTTATGAACACTGATTCTCAGAAGTCATAAGGAACCCCCTCCCCTCTTATCATGGATGTTAGCTTATATCTTTTCTACCTTTGGAAGGTAAATTAAAGGTTTAAGGAGAATCTGTCTATAAAAAGTATATTGCTGAAATGCATTCTAAGACCTCCATCCTTTACAAACTAGGCTATAGTAAAGCAACCAACACACTTGTATTCATAGCAGCACTATTCACTATAGCTAAGGTATGGGATCAGCCCAGATGCCCCTCAATGGATGAATGGATCAAGAAAATGTGGTGTATATATACCTTATGGAATTTTACTCACCTGTTAGACAGAATGATATTGTACCATTAGTATGGAAGTGGAAAAACAGTCCCAGAAAGACAAAGATTGTTCTTCCACATATATGGAAGCTAGAATTAGCTTATAAACATAAATACGCTAGGTGGTATGCAAGTGTATACAAATATATTTACTAAATATGGTAGATTCAAGGGAGAACTTCAACTAGTGTAATCCCTTAGAAATCCAGATAGCCTCTGATTATAGTTTATCAAAATAAACTCCAAGAAATATAAACAAGAGGTTTTTTTCTTTGCTGCTGCTTTTGTTTACTTTTCATTTTGTCTCGTTTGCTCATTTATCTGTCTTTAAGTGGGAAAGGGGGCACAGAAATGAAGGGACAAAGAATGACAATGCAGTAGTGGTACTTACTATGTTGAAAATGAACTATACAACTTTTGGGTGGAGCTGGAAGGGAAAAACTGGGAGGAGAGATTGAAGAAAAAAATAACATTGTCCAAAAAGAATGTACTCACTATCTAACTTATATAACCATAACTCTCTGTACATCACTTTTATAATAGTAGTATAAAAGCAAAAGAGTAAAAAAAGAGATGCAAAGACAAAGTTCAAAAACAATAAACACTAAGTAACAGGTACTTTAGAGGTTGAGAGTAGAGTCAAGGGAAAAGGGATAAACAAATGAGGAGAATGGGAGATGAATGCAGTCAAGAATTCAATGTAGGGGCTAGGAAGGGGCTCAGTGGTAGAGCGCTTGTCTTGCATGCATGAGGCCCTGGGTTTGATTCCTCAGCACCACATAAACAAAAAGAAAAAAGCCGGAAGTGGCGCTGTGGCTCAAGTGGTAGAGCGCTAGCCTTGAGCTGAAGAGCTGAGGGACAGCGCCTAGGCCCAGAGTTCAGGCCCCATGACCGGACCCCCCCACCCCAAAAAAAATTCAATGTATATCTGACAAAATTAAGAAAAGTGAGGGAGGGATTTTGTTGAGAGAGATTATTGTGAATGTTAAAAGGGGTGACATTGACCAAGATTTATTGGCTTCATAAATGGTAACTTCTTTGTACAACTACTTAAAGATAATAAAAAATGAATCAATTGATAAAATAGAAACAAAATTTTTAGACCAAAAATCTAAGCCAGGTGCTGATGGCTCACACCTACTATCCTAGCTCTTCAGGAGGCTGAGATCTGAAAATCTCAGTTGGAAGCCAGCCCGTGAAGTAAAATCTTTGAGATTCTTATCTCCAATAAACTACTCAGAAAAAGCCAGAAGTGGCACTATGCCTCAAGAGGTAGAATGCTATCATTGAGCACAAAGAAGAACAGGGACAGCACCCAGACCCTGAGTTCTAGTCCCCAGGAACAGCAAAAAATAAATGAATAAATAAGTTTATTACATTTTCTATGCCTAGCACAGCTGTGCCTCATGGGCACAGAAGAAGCCTCTCAAGTTAGTAGCTGTTGTAACATTTTTGGTATCAGATAAATTTACCTAATTTTTTTCTCACACATCCACTGATTTCTACAATCTGAATAACCTTTCTTTCTAATCTTAGGTATTCCCTATGATACTGAAGTGATCATTAAGGTTAATGGCGACATACAAACTAATATTATTTACCTTGCTGGTGTTATGCATGTCCTTAGCATTTTATGGACAAGAGACAATGCCTGTCTGATCAATGACATGTAGAGTCACTCACTTTTCTGTTCATAATACTACCTCTGAGTTGTACAAGCTGGAAAGATCTTTGGGGAATAAAGGAGTCCTACACCTTTACCTCATAAATTTGGAAACTGGCAAGGCTAATGGTTTCATCAAGTTTGACATAGGTAAACTTTGTGTACATGCTGCAGGAACCACATAGAAAGTGTTTGCCAAAACCTTCCTTTCATTAAGCTGCACTAACCAGGCTCCCTGCATGTGTCTAGGTAGCTGTATAGCAAAGGGCTTCTGCTTTTCCTTAAGTTTTGCCCTCATATGATCCTTATCCTACATTACAGTGTGGTAATATTCAGCCATTTAGCTGAAGCCATGTGATTTCGACCATTGTTTCATAATCTCAGTCTCTCCCTCTCTCTTTCTCTCTCAGTCAGTGGTTTGCTTGGTTTTGTGTGTGTGTGTGTGTGTGTGTGTGTGTGTGTTTGTTGTTGTTTGGTTGTTTGTTGTGGGTTGTGGGGCTTCAACTCTGGGCCTGGGCACTGTCCCTCAGCTCTTCAGCTAAAGGCAGGCAGTGTTCTACCACTTGAGCCACAGCACCACTTCTGGATTTCTGAGTGGCTTATTGGAGATAAGAGTATTACAGACTTTCCTTCCCCGGGCTAGCATGGAACCATGATCCTCAGATCTCAGCCTCCTAAGTAGCCAGAATTAAAGGCATGAGCCACCAGCACCTGGCTGTCTTTTTGTTTTTATGTGGTTCCTGTGAAAGATGTCTTCAGGCATGCCCACCTTTTTGTTATTGCCCAAGACAATAGGCCAAGGAGAGCTTTACAAGGGAGAGCAAACCACCTCACCAGTAGTAAAGAGAGACTAGTGTTCAAATAAAGGGGGGAGATGATAACTAGGTCATATGTTGAAGCAATTTTTATGTCAATTAAATATAACACAAGCTGGGCTCTGATGTTTCCTGACTGTAATCCTAGCTACTCAGAAGGATGAGATCTGAGGATCAGAGTTCAAATGCCAAGCCAGGCAGGAAAGTCTGTGAGACATTAATCTCCAATTATCTATCAAGTAGA